CTATGTTCTGTCCCTTGGGTGGCTACCCAAGCCATTTTCGTGTTTTAATGAGAGGATGGTTTGAATTAATTTGCTAAAAGCTTTTTTTTTTTTTCTATTTGTTTAACTAAAGATGCATTAGGCAGTAACCCTGATTAAAGTTATCATGAGGCTTTTAAAAAAAACAAAAACAAAAAACAAAAAAACCTTGTTTTGGTACTCTATTGAACCTAGCATGAAAACTTTAAGGTCAAATAGTTCAGTTAAATTCTGTATTAGGGCTAAAGAGGTGACTATGTGGTTAAGGGCACTGGCTGTCCTATCAGAGGACTTGAGTTCAATTCTCAGCACGCACATGGGTGCTCACAGCTGCCTGTAATTTTCAGTTTCAGGGGCTCCAACACTCTCTACTAGGGTTTCTCTGTATAGCCCTGGCTGTCCTAGAACTGGCTCTGTAGACCAAGGTGGTCATAAACTCAGAGATTCACCTGCCTCTCCCACCCTAGTGCTGGGGATAAAGGTGTGAGCTACCACACTTCTACACCCAGCTAGAGCTTCCTTTCTGTGATGGAGTCTTGCTCTGTTGCTTAGGCTAAACCTCCTAGGTAACTGGAATTGTATGTGGGTGCCACCATACCCAGTTTGAGCTCTTTTTTTGAGTTGCTCATATTAGGTAGTGAGATTGTAGAGTTTTTGTTAAATCTCTCAAAAGGTAAGTGACATGTTTAGAATATTGAAATTATGTGAAAGACTTGACCTGCTCAGGTCGACCCGATGCATTATCCAAGTAGATGGCACACAGACTCTGCTTCCTTGTAACCATGCCCTGCTTTTCACTTTCTGCTCAGTAAACTGAGTGTTGAACATATATACTCATGTAGAGGATAACATAGCAAAAATGAAATTTACATGTGCATTTCACTGTAGTGGAACCAGTGGGTAGATTGTGGTTATTGGACATAGTTTGGATACCTTTTTGAGCGGTACTTTGTAGTTGTTGGACTGTAGTGTGCTCATGGGTCCATTGTTGAGTTGAATTGTGGGTTCCGCAAGGGGCTAGGGCCGTGGCTCAGAGAAGCAGAGGTGTGGGAATTTGACTATGTTCACTCCACACTGGCGCTGAGTGGACATCGGGCTATGTGAAGCCGCAGGACTCCTTTCAGGGTGGGAGAACAGTCTGAGGTCCCCAGGGACTGGAACTTTTGAGTTGGGGGTCCCTGGACCAAAAGGCAGCTGGGAACTGTTTCGTTCTCAGGCCCTTGGGCTCTCAGATGCTAGATACAGGGCGTAAGGGCTGGATCCGCCAGCAGCTGAAGGGGGGAGGGGGAAGGATGAGCTCTGGGTGTGCCCCACAGGGATAAGACTCTTGGTCGAGGTGACTCGCTTGGCTGGGTCACTGCTGGCTCAGCTTGGGCTTGCCTGTTTGGGTTGGGGGGTCTTCATGGCTGGAAGCATAGAGAGGTTGTCTGCGGGAGATTAGGTGGCGGCTCGGTGGTTGAAAACCTTCTCCATGGTTCCCCATGGTGGGTCCCAAAGAAGAGAAATAGGCTATGGTCTTAAGATATTTATTGTCATGGTGGAAAAATGGATGAAAACTATACCCCCAGTATTCAGCATGGGCCTGAAGTTAAATACCTTTTGCAAGGAGGAGGGTCTGGGAAGGAATGCTTAATTGTCTATGCCCTCTGGCCTTTAGGTATTTCTTTAATATGCAGATCTATCTTGACGCTCTGTGGCCTGTAGTCATGCCCTCTACCTTTGGAGGGGCTAGTAGGGACTTTGTCCTAGCAGATTGATGGCGGTCTTCAGCCTCGTGTCAGGAGCCTAGAGTCTCGGAGCATGGCGAAATGTATGCTGTCCCTTGCAGGGAAACCTGTGGGGTCTTCAACCCTGCCGGGTCTCTGGCCATCTCTAGCTGGTGCTCAACCAGAAACTATTCTGTCCTTTCATGGTCCTACAGTGCTTTAACTTTACCTTCCAGTATTATTTGCAAAATGTAGAGGAAAGCCATTACTACAGATTGAAATGTTCACATTTGAATTAAACTTCATAGGTTGATTACATAAGGAGACTTAGATTTTTGTTTCCAGCTATGCTACTAAATGGATAGGTTCCCTACTCTGTTATAGCCTGCTTTGCATTACAAGTTAGAAGGACAAAACGTCATCATGTCTCAGTGATGAAGATTTTGTGGGAGAGACTAGAGAAACCTATTATGTTTGGCTTTGAGAGCAATGGTCAGACTTAGTAAAAAGAATTTATTTCCATTCAGGTGTCAAACCAATTATACTTTACCATATTAGTTAGCCCTGTCATATAGGAATGTAGCCTGGGAAGTGTTGAGATTTCCCAGGGGCTAGAGTCATTTATTTATATTAGGCATAGGCCAGGCCAGTAAGGGCACCATTAACTTTATTCATACTTTAGAACCATTTTAGATTTTTTTAAAATAGATCTTCTTTGTTCAATTAAATGTGGAACAATGAGTTTTGATGCATACTTCTCTGCTTCCCACCTGTGCTGTCATTACCCACCTACTCTTTCCTCACATTTTTTTATCCTTTCATTGGGGTTTAATTTTCTTTTTACTTCTGTCTATTAAGCTTTCATATACCTGACACTGTATAAACTACAGACCCATAAGCAAGAATGGCTATATAAGTCAGTATGATCCATACAAAACAGATCAATAATCATGTACGCTACGAAAGTGCCTGGGTGCAGGAGCTGCCTGAGACTTGTTCTAACATGTTGCTTCGTAGCATTTAGTTCTAAGGAGACCTATGCCAAAGAGAGTGGTTCTGTCCTTTTCCTCTAAAATATGACATTGCTGTTCTTTTAATGTTCTCATCTTTTTTAGTACAGAGCTTTCTTCTTTTCTTCTTTTTTGGTTTTTCAAGATAGCTTCTCTGTGTAGCTCTGGCTATCCTGTAGCTAGCTCTGTAGACCAGGCTGGCCTCAAACTCAGAGATCTACCACCTCTGCCTCCAATTGCTGGGATTGAAAGTGTGTGCCAACTCTCCGACCTGGCATTGCTATTCTTAGTTGTTTGTGGTTGAGAGTTTATTCAATGACCTGGTATTACCTGTTTGATTCCTGGTTCCAAAAGGAAAGAAAAGAAAAGAAAAGAAAAGGGGGAAGGGGGAAGGAAGGGGGAAAGGGGGAAGGGAAAAAGGAAAGGAAAAGGGAAAGGAAAAGAAAAGAAAGAAGGTCCCTTTGTACCACTTCTTTACAAAGTAGCTCTTGTTTGAGTTTCAGAGGATGATGTTCTGAGCTCTCTAGTGGAAGCTGAAAGAAGCATTCCTCTAGTCAGTATCTTCCTGAATTTGGTGGTCTGGTTTGTTTCCCTTGAATACTGAAAAGTAGCTTTTTGCCTTTTGGGGGTTGGGTTTGCTCAGTTCCAATTTCTTGGTTCTATATATCCAAAGATCCTAATATTCAAACTATTTCACACCATTTACTCTACCATGTGTCTCTGTTATAGCATCTGCCACTCGTATTTTGACCTTGTTAATTTAATGAAATACTTACTCTTTTTGGATGCTGGTATATATGGCATGTATGTGTGCATGTTTTAATGAGCTAAATAGAACTTTTGTTTAGAAAATACTCATGTTCTTTTTCTGGAGTTGTTCATAATTACCCATTGTACATACCTTTTACCAGAGTAGTACATTTGCTACAGTTATTTTGTTGTTGTTGGTTTTTTTTTTTTTTCTGAGACAGGATCTCTCTTTGAAGGCCTTGCTATCCAGGAACACTGCTATGTAGACCAGGCTGGCCATGAACTCAGAAGTGATTCACCTGCTTGTGGTGTATGGCTGTTTTTGAGGCAGGGTTAATATGTGTGCTTAAGGAGGCCAGAGGTCAGCCTCAGGAGCCATCATATTGTTTGTCACCATGGGTCTCTCATTAGCTTGGAACTCAACAAGTAGACTAGGCTAGGTGGCAGTCAACTCCAAGTATGTGCTTGTCTCTGCCTCCCCAGATCTGGGATTACCAATGTGCCACCCACACCCAGCCTTTCGTTTTATATGGGTCTTGCATAGGGATTGAATTTGGGTGCTCATGCTTACAAAGCAAGCACTTCACCAACTAAGCTATGTTCCCAACCCACAGTTTCATTCTCTGAGTGTGTGTGTGTATGTTACTCTACTCTTTCTTTCTTTCTTTCTTTCTTTCTTTCTTTCTTTCTTTCTTTCTTTCTTCCTTCCTTCCTTCCTTCCTTCCTCCCTCCCTCCCTCCCTCCCTCCCTCCCTCCCTCCTTCCCTTCCTTTCTTTCTTTCTCTCTTTCTTTCTCTCTTCCTTTCTTATTTTTTTTTTTTTTGAAATATGGGATCTCTCTCTGAATGTGAAGTTTGTCCAGACTGGCTGGTCAGTGAGTTCCAGAAATCTACCTGTTTCAGTCTCCTGCTGGTAACCCAGGCATTTTACTGATTAAACCACCTCCCTAGCTTCCTGTAATTGATCGATCGATTGATTAATTGATTGATTGATTTTAGGTTTTTTGAGACAGTTTCTCTATGTAACTCCTGGCTGTCCTCAGACTCAGAGATCCACTTGCCTGCCTCCTCAGTGCTGGGATTAAAGGTATACACCACCACCACCCAGTTTGTATTTATTTTTAATCATCCTTTGAAAATATACTGATTGGAAAAGAGCTATTGATTTACTGAAAATTATACAGCCTGGTGCAGTGGCTCATGCCTATAATCCTAGTACTTGGGAGACTAAAACAAAAGGATTTCTGAATTGGAAGCCAGCCAGGGCTACAGTGTGAAACCCTGTCTCAAGAAAGAAAAAAAAAAAAAAACCACAGAAAAGAAACTTTTGCAGCTAGCTATCTCCATTTGCTCTAGATTGATAAATAGAATTTCAGCCAGAAATCAGCAGATAGGCAAACCTCTAGCTATAATTATGATAAAATAATCTGAAACAGGAATATGACCATGTAACTTTTTTAAAAAAGGAATAGGGAGTGTGTGTGTGTGACTATTGATGTCAGTATTTTCTCTTTTTAGTTGCTCTAGGTCGTAATCAGCCTTTGAAAAAGGAGAAACCAAAATGGAAAAGCGACTATCCCATGACAGATGGACAACTGCGCAGCAAGAGGGATGAATTCTGGGACACTGCACCAGCTTTTGAAGGCCGGAAAGAGATCTGGGATGCCTTGAAGGCTGCTGCACATGCTTTTGAAAGCAATGATCATGAACTGGCACAGGCAATCATTGACGGTGCAAACATAACGCTACCACATGGTAGGTTTGGTGTCCTGATAACAAAGGGTCACAGTCTCCTTGTCTCCAGTAGCAGAGGACCACCTGAAGAGAGACTTTTCTTTTTCTTTTGCACATTACTCTAATTTTTTTTATTATACTAAAAAAAATAGCTTTCCTCTGTTTTTTTTTCTTTTTTCTTTTTATATCTTTGAGTTGGTGATAGTTTGTGTCTTGGTTCATTTTTATGTTTCCTAATCTCAGAAAAGAGAACATTTGCTAAATGGGTATTTTCTACTTTGTGTGTGACTTAGCTCTCTCTAGAGACAAGCTCCCTTGTCTGCTTCCCTGTCCTGCCGTATACATCCCCACCTGGCGGTAGCTACTGCTGCTGCCGCCTTAACTACTTTCCTGTCAGCTGGGAATCTCAGCTTAGGCTTTATAAAATGGAGAGACATCATGGCTGCTCCCTAGTCATGCTTTCCTATCAGTTAGCATGAGCAGGCCTAGACTTTGAAGTTCATTTTTTAAAATTAATATTTGGGGTGGAGGGACATACAGAAGAGATGGCTCAGTGGTTGCTGCTCTAGTAGAGGATCTGGGTTCAGTTCTCAACCAACTATGTGGTGGCTCACAAGTGTCCAGGTCCAGGGACATCTGCTTCTCTCTCGGCTTCTGCTGACACTACGTTTATGTGGTGCATAAATATATATACATATAAGCATACATACATAATTAGTTACATATGTTAGGCAAACATATCCATGTGTGTGTGTGTGAGTGAGTGTGTATGTGTGAGTGAGTGTGTGTGTGTGTGTGTGTGTGTATTTCTTTTAAATGTGCTTTTATTTTCTATGTATGGGTATTTTGCCATGTGGATTCTGGGAAACAGACCCATGTCCTGAAAGAACAGCAACAACTCTTATCTGCTGAGCCATCTTTTCATCCCCAACTTCAAAGTTTTTAAGGATTGTTTTCCATGACTCTAGCCTGAGCCGTACAAGAAATCTTTCTTGCTTTAGAAGTGTGACTAAAGCCAGGCGGTGGTGGCGCACACCTTTAATCCCAGCACTTGGGAGGCAGAGGCAGGCGGATTTCTGAGTTCGAGAGTTCGAGGCTAGCCTGGTCTACAGAGCAAGTTCCAGGACAGCCAGGGCTACACAGATAAACCCTGTCTCAAAAATAAATAAATAAATAAATAAATAAATAAATAAATAAATAAATAAATAAAAGAAGTGTGACTAAGAATCGTCATAGTGTATATGTATCCAGGGATACAGAGATGCTAGACTTGTGCACATGCTCTCCTATGATCTCCTTGACTCAGAACATTAAATGTTTGGTGTTATGCTGGGGTTTAGATATTAGTTTTACATATGAACTCGTTGTTCTTTTGATTTATGTATCTGTGTTTTTCTCTTTAGCTTCTCAAGTTAATAGTTTTCTAGATTGTTTCTTCAGACCTATGTAAGGGACAAGCGCCTATAGGTGCTGTTGTCCTCTGCTCATTATTATGCCACCATTGTTTTCCCCAACATCTTTTTCATTTTATTTGTATAGGGGAAGTGCTTTAGTAATTTAATCATCTGTGGAATGTTCTTTGACTCTTTGTCCAATACAGGATATTTTACTCATAAGCTTTGCCAATTTTCCAAATCCCCATTATACGCTAATTAGTTGTGCTTTTAAGAAGCATTCCTTCTTTTATGACTGTCTGTTTTATGAGAACTTTTTCGCATGGGCTCATATCCCTAGTGTTTATTGAATACCCACTTTTCCCATACATGTAAACATGATTGCTCCTGTATTTGAGTTATTTGAGCCATTTCAGGATGCCCACTTAGTTCCATTTTCAGGCTAGTGTTTAAATCCTGTACCTCAGGCTGGTGAGATGGCTCAGCGGTTAAGAGCACTGACTGCTCTTCCAGAGGTCCTGAGTTCAATTCCCAGCAACCACATGGTGGCTCACAACCATCTGTAATGAGATCTGATGCCCTCTTCTGGTGTGTCTGAAGATAGCTGCAGTGTACTCATATATACATAAAATAAATAAATAATTCTTAAAAAAATAAATCCTTTACCTCTTCCATGATTGTAGATTATGAGATGGTGACATGGTTTTCCATCTGCCCCTTCAGCTACCCCACTAATGTGACAGAGAATGAAGGTTCTTTCATGAAGTTGTATTACTCATTTCTTTCTGATGCTTACATCCCTTATTTCCCAAGCGGAATCTATAATGGTTGTCTTAATATAGAATCCTGGAACTTTGAATTTTTCATTTTATATGTAATATAGTTACCTGTAGCTAATTATGTTCTCCAAATTGTGGCTTAATTTAAAAGCTCATGGAGACAGGGATCAACAAGATGGCTCAGCAGTGTTTACCATCAAGTCTGATGACATGTGAGTTTAATCCCAGGAACCAGCACAGTAGAAGGAAAGAGAACCAACTCCCTCAAGTTGTCTTATGATGTCCATATGTGCACTATAGCATGCACACATACACATAATAATCATATTAAATAAATGTAACAAATGTGTTTTAAATGCTTTTAAGTTCATAAAGGCAAAGTATCTGTTTCATATATAGACACACTCTATACGTATCCTAATAAGTATAGACTCAAATCATTATTAAATATTTAAGTCTGATTTCTGCTCATCTACATGAATTGTCAAGAAAAGTAATGTTGCTAGGCCAGGTATAGTGATGCATGCCTTTAATGTCAGCATTCAGGAGGCAGAGATAGGTGGATCTCTGAGTTCAAAGACAGCTTGGTTGGTCTACTTAGCTAGTCTGGTAGAGCCAGGTCTGTATAAACAACTCCTGTCTCATACACCCAAAACAACAGCAATAATAATTTTTACTGGCAGCTCCTTCAACCAGCATGTCATGTCTTTAATCTTAGAACTTGGGAGGCAGAGAAGTGAATGGATCTGAGTTTGAAGCCAGTCTGGTCTACTGAGCAAGTTCCAGAACAGCCAGGGCTACACAGAGAAACCTTGTATTGAGAAACCAAAAAAAAAAAAAAAAAAAAGAAAAGAAAAAAGAAAAAGAAAGGAAGGGAGGGGGAGAGATTGTGTGAGAGAGAAATATATTCTGCATAAGCATGGAAGAACCATAGTGATGTCTGAGTATCCTCTCTCAAATGAATTATCACAGACTTGTTGGCAATAATGTTTTGTCATTGATATCCTTGAATGTTTCTCTATTTTTCTCTGAAGCTTATCAGTGATATCTCTTGGGTGGACCTGTCAATTAAGCTCTGTCATATATCCCTAGTTTGCCATCAGTTACAATTCAGCTACTTAATTGAATGTTTTTACTTAGACCTGCTCAGGGTAGGTTTTGACATCACTGTGCTTCTACTGTAGTGATTAAAGCTATGTGGCTTTAGACAAATCATTCTTGTGACCTTCATTTTTCTTTGTCATATGTGGACTGTGGTCCATGTGGGTCTGGTTGGGTAAATTTCTTGTGAGTCATTTACCATAGTGCCTGACCTACCAAAGGCACGTAGTAAACACTGGAGCTGTTGAGTTCACTGGTTTTTTTTTTCCCCACTGGACTCTGGCACTAACAGGTAAATTTCCTGCAACACCTTTGACTTACAGATTCTGACTGGCTGTTTCCACCTTCCCATAGCCACCTATCTGTAAAGTACCTTTTCCCCATAGCTTTTACAGCATTTAAAAAAAAAAAGCCATATCTTTTCTAGGTTATAAATCATGGAACTTCTGATTTACACATACATGCACACACAGATACACACACACATACACACGTGCACACGCATGGACAGACAGAGACACACACACACACACACACACACACACACACACACGTACGTGCAAACGACTTAAAACCAAAAAGAAACCAAGAAGTTTGCCCAAAGTGACTATGTAAAAGTTCTGGCAGGAACAAAACGCCACTGGTAAACAAGGTCAGAGATCAAACGTGAAATCCAAAAAATAAATAAATAAATAAATAAATAAATAAATAAATAAATCATGGAACTGAGATTTGACTCAAACCTCAAAAGTAACAAAAAAGTCCTCTTCAATGTTTTTTCTATGTCTGATACTTTTAGTACCTTGCATATTTCTTTTAATACTTTAAAATGATAGACTTTTAAATACTTAAGAGAAATAGTACATTTTCTTAATATATAAATGGACAGGACATACATATGTATAGTTAGGCCTTTATGTTTTTCTTAACTGTGTCTCTGAAGGCCATTAAAAAAACAGGCCAGGATGCTGACCCTCCTAGGTAGAGGCAGGTGAATCTGAGTTTAAGGTCAGCCTGGTCTATAGAATGAGATCCAGGTCAGCCAAGGGTACAAAATAGAGAGACTCTGTCTCAAATAGAAAAGCAGTCCATGGAGTTCAGTGATTAGGAGCACTGGCTGCTCTTCCAGAGGACTCTGGGTCAGTTCTCAGCACCAGCATGGTGGCTGACAACATATGTAGTTTCAGGTCAGGGGATCTAACACCCTCTTCTGGCTTCTGTGGACACTGAACACAGTGGCACATAGGGATACCTACCTATAGGCAACACATCCATACACATAAAAATAAAGCAAGAGGATCACTTGTTGAAGGCCAGCCTGGGCTATATAGCAAGAATCTATCTTGAAAAATCCAGGTTGCTTTAAAAGTCCTAAGGTTGGAGGAATAAATAACTGTAATCCAGATAGTTAATTTTACATAGATGGTTTTTCCTTGGCTGTTGTAGTGTTTAGAAATGAAACCATCCTTAATAAGGAGTCTAATGACTGATTAATCATAAATGACATATCATTTTCTTCTGTCTTCTTAAGAGACAAAAGTGGCTGAGTATTACAAACTGCGAATGTGTCTGCTCCTCTGCTGTTGTCATGCTTTTTCTTGAATCAGAGTAATAAAGTCTGAAAATAGCTGTGGTGGGAGGTTGTTCCTGAGCCAGGAGGCTTGTCTCCGAAGAAAACCTTTCTGTATTGTTCGGGGGTGGGGTAGGAGTGAGGAGGAAGCAAGGTTTCTCACATCCCAAGGGAACA